GAAGGATACAGTGTGATGCAGATAAGATTGCAGATTTGGGCAGAGAAATAGCAGATGGAATTTAATTGGACAAATGCAAGGTGATGCATTTTGGAAAATCAAGTTCAGGTTTGAATTATACAATAAATGGCAGAACCCTTAGGAGCATCGACATAGAGGGTTCTGGCTGTACAGATCCCTGAAAATTGCAATACAGTGGATAAGGTTGTCAAGAAGGCATACTGCACACTTGTCTTTATTGGCAGGGGCATTGAATATAAAAGTTGGCAAGTTAGGCTGTTTTTGGAATATTGTGTGCAGTTCTGGTCGCCATACAATCAGAAGGACTTGGATGCTTTGGAGAGGGTGCAGAGATTGGTTACCAGGATGTTGGCTGGTATGGAGGATTTTAGGTATGAGAAGAGGTTGGATAAACTCTCTTTTCACTGGAAAGACAGGTTGAGGGGGGTAACCTGATAGAGGTCTACAAAATTGAGGTGCATAGTCAGAGGCTTTTTCTTGAGGTGGAAAGGTCAACTACAAGAGGGCACAGGTTCAAGGTGAGAGAAGGAGCGTTTAGGGGAGAAGTGCAGGGGAAATGTTTGAGGGTGGTGGGTGCCTGGAATGCATCGCCAGTGGTGGTGATGGAAGCAGGCATGTTAGCAACATATAAGGCATACCTTGATACACAGCTGAACAGGAGGCGAACAGAGGGATAGAAATAGTGTATGGGCAATTTGTAGTGGGTCTAAAGGGCTAGCAATTGGCTTGGTTGGCTGAAAGGCCTGTTCCTGTGCTGTATCATTCTGTGTTCACACATCTGTTCTGTTCTGAGGTGTTTAGCCACAGTGCTTTTCTCTCTGTTTCTCATTAACCTTTTGGAAAGGTAGAAAGGTAGTTGTTTCCAAAAATCCTTTTTCAGCTAGAGGAAAGAAAAGAATAAACCTTCATTTATATGCTGTCATTCACAACCTCCTGATGCCGTGATGTACATTTGAATGTAGTCACTCTTGAAACGTTGGAAGTTTGGTCAATGCAAGCTCCCACAAACAGGAATATGATATTGAGTAGATAACTTCATTTTTGTGATGTGGTACTAGTCGTAAGTATTGATTAGAACAATAGGGAGCATTTCCTGCACTTTTTCCAGATATTTAGGCCTTCCTTTGATTCCTTTGACAATGCAGCACCTTCCCAATACTACAGTGGAGTGAAGGCCTGGATTATGAGCTCAGGCCTGTAGAATAGGATTTGAACCGTAACCCTCTGACTCAGGTTTAAGGGTCATAACTGAATTGTGAGCAAACTTTTTGGTGAGTCAAGTTGTATTGCTTTGTGAAAGCATTTTGATTTTTCATTGAGATCTTCATAAGATTGCTGTGCCTTGATCCTCCAACAGGGATCACTGTTCAACATGTACTCCTCCAGACACTTTGATTGTAGCAATTACATGTTAGCTGCTGGTTTCAATCCTGTCATCAGGATGTTTGCCCAGGCAGTTTCTCAAAGACAGAAAAGGAAAACCTAGAGGGTTAGGGGTCACCAGTGCTTACTTTGCAGAAGACGAGGATAACAATGCCATCTCGTTCTGGAGAATAACAGTTAGCACTGAAATTTGGCTTGGGCAGCAGATAAAAGGCAACATCACCCATGAAGCCACATATCATCAAGAATTTGTGTTATTTTGCCATTCCTTTGCTTTGCTGGGTCAAAATCCTGTAACTCTCAACAGCACTGTGGATGTCCCAACTGGGACAGCAAGAACTGTGGCAGTTCGAGAAAGCAGGTCACCACCAGCTTTTCCAAAGTAATTAGGCATGGGCAATAAATGCTGGCCCAGCAAGATTTGCCCATATCCCATGAACATCCTTTCCTTTAAAAAAAGGACATCTGTGATGGTCAGAGCTAAGTCTGTCATAACAATGTTGGGGAAGTTGGCTACAGATGGCTCCCAGGCACGAAGGAAATAATGAATTACTACTGAAGTATAATCACTGTTGATTATTTGACTATCAGCAAATCTGTGCATAAAAGTAGCAAATGAATAAATCATCAGATAATGTTTTTAAGAGTTTCATTGAAGAAGGTGCATTGCCACAACAACAGGAATTTGTGTTGTGTAATACCTAGAGGTGTGTTGGATAATAATCCTACTCTCTGAATTGTGCCTTGGAAACTCTTACATTCACTTGAGCTGGCAGACAGGTCTTGGTTTTGATCTTTTCATCTGAAAGACATTGAGCATCTAACTTGCAGCTTGCTGTCTCTAATATGATTTGAGTCGACCAGTATGTAGAAAAAGTGGTGTGGTTTTTTTTGACACCTTCCTGAGTTTACTGTGCTTGTCATTTTCGATGTCAAGGAGAGTTGATTTCAAGTGCCTAAAGAGTCCAATGGAATTGTAATTTACAACAGCAGAACTATTACCTAGACCTACTGTCCTTGTTATCTAAAGCTGAAAAGCTTTGAAATGCCTGTTTAAAAGATGAGTGACTTAAACTTCATATTCTTGGCCTGCCAGACTGTTGCAATGAATAGTGAAATAACTTTGTTGTTTTGTTTTGTTTTTAAGCATAACAGTAACGACATCATGCTATCCAGTGCCATCAATCTGTTGCCATGATCTAGTGTATGACTGGTTTGAGAGTTTGGCAGAGTGCCTTCACTGGAATGTGCGGAAAAAGCAGTCACGCTTCGAAGAAATCACGGATTCTTCAGATACAGAATGTTAGTCCATAATGAGTGCATCCCTTTCCCCAAACATTGCCTCCTCATAGCAAAACTTGATAATACTTTGTTCTAAGCTTCTGGAGTATCTATCCTGTTTGTAATGTTAAATGGAAGACAGTATTTTGTATCCGATTGTAGTGTATATTTAGCATTCCAATTTTTGATAGTTTAATTTATCCTGGACTATTCACTGGGCTTCATGTCAAAGTTGGGGGAAGAGTAATGAAGATGCACCAGTGCTTTTTAACGTGAGCTTGAATTCATGTTGCGACTATTGCTATTTTTCTTTTAAGGTGCCTTAACTGACCATTATCAATAATCAAACTTGTACAGTAGAATCTGGCCTTGGAACAATTTATTTATTTACTTGCTGCAGATGTGCTGTAAAATGAAGTAGCTTTGTCTCCATGGATCCATCTTCATAGTTGGGGTGTCCCTGTTGTGTACTCTGAAGAGCAAATAAGCCACTGTCCTGTTATTTGCTTTGCCTGAATTTTCCATAAGGCAGTCAAGATGAGTGTGTTAAACTTTGCTAATTGCCAGCTCACTCCCAGCAAAAGATCTATCTGCTGAACCTCAACTGTACCTTTATTAACCATCAGTGCCAAGAATGTGGGGAGAAAGTTAGTTGCCTTTAGTGAACGTTAATACCTGCTCAAGGACAACTATTGTATTCAACGTGTTGGAGGAAAAAAATGATTTTTATACACTTCTCATTGACAGTTACTTTCACATCAGAGTAATTGTACAAAAAAATACACTCAAGAACTAAGTGTATCAATCAGCATAGAGACTAGAGGCCAAACAATTACTATTTAAAAAACTAACACAAAGTGCAAAATGGCAAGTTGGTGAATTTAAGTATCCAGTGAGCTTTGCACGATTTAATGTTATTCCATTCACTGATCCCTCTTGGATCAGTGTACACTCAAAGCAGAGTTTGCAGTAGCTCCCTTTGTATTGTTGCAGTTCTTAAAGCCAAACTGGTGCACCAGGCAGTGTTGTTCAGAATATGCAGATAAGTGTAGAGGGAGACCCATATGTAACCGTAACATTGTTTTTACTGTACATCTGAATGTTATGCCTGAACTGGATTACTGATGTTGATAGTGATAAAAGGTCACTATTTTCATTCAAAAACCTTAACTGTATGACCAACAAGTGATTTCCGCATGAAATTAGTGGAGTTTGAGTAACATCAGAGTCTTTAAATTTAAAGACTATCAAACAATATAACTATATTCTTTGTGGATAAAAGACATTACAATGAGAAAGATGTTAAACCTATTGCAGACATACTAGTAACATAAACCACAGAACAAGGTACATTTCCAGTTATAGAACATCATACAAATTTAGCAACCACTTTCAATAAAGTTACATAAACCATTGTTGTTTTCTTTGAATTTGAAGCTTAACAAGGGCAGAGATAAGGGGCTCATTGGGATTTGTACAAGATTTAAGTTTTCTCGTGCTCTTTTGGAAAGAATAGGATTGTATATCCATCTTTGCAGATGGCAAAATAGGCAGAAGTTTCCACTTTAGTTACACAGGGTTATCAGGTTATGTTAATAAAGAAGGCAATGGTCATGAAGCTGGCAAGGTTCACTCGAATGCAACGACAGCTAATGACACTACTTAAAGGGACTTAGAGAGCCATTGCTTTCTCAGAAGCCTCTTGCTCTGGATTGCTGGATCAATGTTCCTACTGCCAAGATAAGAAAGAATGAAGAATAATATAACTGGCAAGAGAATCTACTTCACAGAAAGCTATGATTGCACCATAATCTACAGCAGACCAGGTCGGATGTGATGAGTCAATGAACCTAACTCTGCTGATCAAAGCAGATTCAGGGAATAATTTGGGAATTTTATAAAAGATTCTGGAACTGTTTGTCTCTGAAATTATACCACCCAAGCTGCAGTTTTAATAAATCTTTGCAACTTGAATACAACAGAATCTATTTGAAAACTATTCCCCTTACTCATTTCCACAAAGGAAGGAGAACCTTGCCTGGTTAAATATTTATCTTGAAGGTTATTAAAACAGCTTCCAGCAGCCTTGTCAGCCAACATTTAAGTCACACCTCTGTGCAAATATGGTTCCACCTCATTGATCCCTTATTCTTTTTGAAGTTCCTACATACTGGACTGGGCAGACTTCAAAGCACAAGATTGTCCTGTCTGAGAGGAACAGGTTCTCTTTCAACAGCATTGTTTTTAAAAAAGTGAGAAACTTGTTACTTTAACCTAATCTTTGCTATCAGATTAGGAAAATACACACAAACACATTTTAGTTTTTAATTGCATTTACTTCTTCAAATAGCTAAAACAGTTATTGTTTAAATAATATTCCAGTAATCAAAGACAAGTCCTTCTTTAAATTATATGTCAATCCAAATATGGACGTAACTAGGTTTGAACAAGAGTAAGGAGTAAGCAATCTCCTCCACCACCCTTCCCCCTCTCTCTGCGGTGATACACATGAAGTAGCACTGGCTTGTAGCTACACTATACAATGTACAAATACTCAAAATACCATTTGAGAGCAGGTTGAGATACTCACTACCAGAAAACCACCGGCACACTGGCAAATCTTTCTCCAAGAAAGACACATGATAACAGAAAAAAAATGCTTTTAACATCTCATTAGGAAAAGCATATGAATATAGAAAAGTTCTACACTACCAAGTATTTTTCTTTCTGTGCTATTAGTTTAATTAAACAGTTAACTACAAAGTTGTGGTCCACGCTCAGGTGACTCTGTGAAATGTCAGAGATTAATCAATTACTGCACGATGAGCAGATGCTGGAAACCAATTAAATTCCACATTTAACTCGATCCATCAGCCTACCAATAATGCGGCAGAGGTCTAATGATGCAGGAAGGCTTGAAACTGACTGAACATGTTCCAACAAATTTCTAATGAGGTGGTAGAAATTATTTCAGCTTGTAAAATATAATGCATTGTGCATTAAGAGATCAGTGAATAAACCTGATGTTGTCCTGTAAAATTAGGGATTGTTTTACAAGATATAGAGTAATAAATCAATGTTACTTACAGCTGCAGCAAGCTTTCTATTTGCATGCTATAACTTCTCTAGTCTTTGCAAACCATTAAAGGGACTAAAGATTCTGTGACACTTGTGGAAAAGTCTGCATCTCTCTGGTTTGCAACAGTCTTGTACACTCTTGTAATGCAAAGATCACATTAAGGCTAATGGTCATACTGTTGAAACAAATCCTTTACAAAGTCATTTCTGCATGATTCTTACAAAGTTAAGAATATGCACTTCTCAACCTTTAGATTTTTGTTTCCCCACCTTTTCTCCTCTCCAGTAACATGTTCAAAGTCCTAGAGTAATATCAAAATTTAAACTTGAAAGAGGCGAAGGCATCATAGCTGCACTATTAATAAGCCAACTCCTAAACTATTATAGATTTTCCTGCTTGCGCGCCTGCATAAAATTGGCACATAATTATAAGCCCCATAGTAAGGTTCTTCTTCTGTTAAATACTGTACCTTCTTCATATGCTGAATTTGTTCCATCCATAACCTAAGGTAACAGAATATGTATCTGCACTTACTCTATGATACCAGACAGTCACCTTAAAGTTGACAGAAGTGAACTTTACGCAATTACACAAAGTGTTGAGCACCGTTTCTAGAATGAGATTTTTAATGGGTTATTTTCAGATTCCAGCTGCTCAAGGAACAGCTGTATCCTGTTACACAAATTGGGTCACTTGTAATCACTTCTTTCTGGACTATAAGCCACCATTGCACCACAAAAGCTTTGTAAAAAGCTACCACATGCCAGAAATTTTGCTTGGCAGCAATGGATACGGTTCTGTTTCCCACTAATACCTGATTACTGGTCAAGTGTGTTGTGGAAAGGAGTGGCTTTTCATCTCTGCACTTTCCAATCTTCAGTGGATTCTTTTGGTGTTAAGTGTCAATAGCCTGAATACAGCAAGTCCCTCATATTTTTGCACTATCTTCCAACATGCAGGCAATGTACCAAAACTTGAGGATTCTAGTGCACAGCACCAGCTTTGTACAGATGGCTGAGAGCCTGGAACAGATTGCAGTGCAACAAACACTATGAACCTCCTCAAGCAGTGGCAAACACCAGCACCAATTTAAGGCCTGCTGTCTCTCAGCTGAGTAAGAATATACAAAGAGATGAATTACCAGATGTAACTGTGGGCCATTGTATTGTTTGGCTTTGCCTTACAATTTTGAAAGATCATGATGCATGCTGTGGTGTGGAACACAACTTGTCTTAAAAATCTAGTAATGCCAACAAGTTTTCTGAGTGTACCTCTAACTCCTCTGCCGAAATATCAAGGCTTATGATCATTATAACTGGGATGAGGGAATTTTAAAATGCTATGATTATCATGCAGTTTTAACATTTCACAATATCTCATCGTGGCATCCACAGTGGGCCAGGTACATGTCTCCATCCCAGTGCGGAACTGTTTTCAACATCAGCTACTCATGCTCGGTTGCTGGAGATGGAATTATCCTGTTCTACGACTTACTGTGTAATGGCTGTGCTTCTTCATCATCTTCCTCCTCCTCCTCCTCTTCATCGTCATCTGTGGGCTGTTCCAATTCCTCTCTAGTGATCATTTCAAAGTCATTCCCGTTGCCGCTGCTATGCTGGGAACCATCATCGTCCCTTCGGTCACTGTCTGTGTCTGACTGTCGCTCCCTGACCAAATTGCCTGTTGCCACTTCTGCTGTTGCTGTTGTTTCTGCTTTTGTCTCTTCCTCTTCTACCTCCTTTTCCTCATCACCTTCAGGTTGTGGCTGTTTCTGGGGGTCAGTCTCCTCATCTGTTTTCTTAGAGTCCGATTTGGGCCCCTTGTACTCGTGTGTGTACAGGGGTCTGAAGGAGTCAATGAAACCAACATCTGCTGTCAGGTTTGGCAAGAACCAGAAATGATGTCGACCACCAGTGAGGAGCCAGATTAAAAGGAAGAGAATGCAACGAGCTGCGAAGAGAATCAAATAGTTATCAATATTAACAAATAGATTAAAAATAATGTCAGACGATGCAGTTTGTTTTGCATCTGATTCCTAATGCCAAAGATCTTATGCCTTCTGAAGACACTCCAATGTTTGGATTTTGGTGCAGTAAGGAAGGCAAAACTGTTTGCTGGTTTGGAGGATAGGATGAGAGGACGAGGGATGGTCAGATAACTATCGGGACCCAATTTTAGATAAAAAGCAAAAAATGGCAGATAGGCAGTGTAGATGAATGACAGAACTTTTAAAAATATGCAGTGAGCTAAAATAGGCTGCCCAAAAGGATTCAGAAAGCACATTCAGTAGCTTCTTTCACACAAAGGAATTGTGTGTATATATCTTAGAAGGAAAAATATGCAGGGCTACTGGAAAAGAAAAGGAGGTAAAAGATGGAACTAACTGGATGGAACTAACTAACTGGAACTAACTGGCAGTTCTGACAAAGGGTCACCGGACCCGAAACGTTAACTCTGTTTTCTCCTTCACAGATGCTGCCAGACCCGCTGAGCTTTTCCGGCAACTTTGTTTTTGTTCTTGATTTACAGCATCCGCAGTTCTTTTGGTTTTTATTTAGGAACTAACTGGATAGCTCTTTCAAGGCATTGTGAACTAAATGACCTCAATTCTGCACTGAGAGACAGTGTGATACTCAAGGTATGGTGTGACCGGAGCACTATACCACTAGATGTGATTGCATGAAAATCAATGGTAACCCACAGAACAAGTGTCCAGATTCTTTTAATCAGCATGTCAAAATCATTAACTCAATCATCCACAAATTAATTTATTTTGAAAAGTGAAGTTATGAGGTACAACTGCTGCGTCATTTAGAAACATGAAAGTCAACAGTTATAAAATTGTTACAGGACAGAAGGAAGCCATTCAACCCAGTGTGTCCATGCCAGGTTTCACCCAGTCCAAACCCCCTTTATTTTATCCATAGTCCTACCTAATTTGAATCTTTTCTGCCTAATAAGTGAATAATATTTTAGGAATAGATAACCGAACAATAGCTATGCAAAATGTAAAGAGCTAAGAGCTAAGCCAAACTCTTGTAAATATGCCACAGGTCCACATGCAATCTGTCTTCTACTCATGGTCATCAAGGTCAAAGTGAAACAAACTGGATGGAATCTCCAGACCAGTTTCCAAAACATTTTCAACACAAAACTCATACTGGAATTAAATGGAAATTTAAAATCAAGCCTGCCATCCATTTAAAAACTTGCTAGTATGCAAGGGGATGCGGGCATAACTGGTGAGATCAGCATTTGAATGGAGTGGCTTGCTTAAATCATTTCAGAGGGCAGTAAAGAGGCAGTCACATTGCTGTGGTTGATTAGTGCTAGATCGGACAAAATCACACGAAGGTTCTGCTGCTGCGCTACCTAACCATACTCACTCACTGCATTAATCTGGAGAAATAACTCTGCTTTTGTCAGGGCATCCTACCTTAACCATTTAATACCCTGATTAAAATTCAGTATTCTGTTAAGAGACCACATCTTTTTATTTTTGGACTATGGACTGCAAATAAGAAAATAGACAGTTTTAAAAAGAAGACAATGTCAAAAGGTTGTTTGCACCTTGGAGAAACAAGCAAAGTAATGAGAGACCATATTACTTTTTGAGACCACTTTCTGGAAAACAGACTCTGAATGAAATGAAAACAAATCCT